CCCGAAGACATTTCGGCAAATTTGCCAAGATTTGAATATTCATCTAAAATATTGGCACGCAATTCTGTTATACCCTGTATATTTATTTGCAAAATGAATAACAAGATCTTGGTTTTAATTCTTCTTTGAAATATACTGCTCTTAGTTTAAATTAAATAAATAATATGAGCATAGCATCCAAAATCAAGACACAGAAAATATTATACGAAAAATTAATGTAATTTTTAAACAACATTTGATAATAAAAATTTGATTGGCGCTTCGAGATATTATGCACTTATTTGTCGTTACTGCACCTGTTTTAAATTGAATAAAAAATATGAGCATAAAATTCAAATTCACCATAATTCGTTTCATCACTCAAAATGTATTAAGAAAAAAAAGCAGATTAGTAACTCTACATTTTATGTAGTGCTAAAAAACGGTAAACGGTCAATTGATTCGGATAGCACCATAATCGACATTGACATTGATAGTAATAAAAAATATATCGTCAAATAAAGACATTTGTCGATTTTCCATATTTTTTTCTTCTCTCAATGCGGTTTCATTGTCAGTAAACCATCTCATACCAAATCTATCGCAATTTTGGGAGGAGACGAAAATTAGTCGATGTTGTAATGTTCAGACTGATGTTTTTTTGTATCATTTTGATGCAATTTGAAATATATTTGAACGTTTTATTAAAAAATCACGAAATTTCTTGAATCATTTTGTACACGAAAAAAACCCGAAAGATACGCAACGAGATACATGCGTTGATGGACGTAACGAAAGTAGTAGCACGATCACAGTTACCTTCAACTAATTAAAATGATTGGAAAAAATGTGTCATTGATCATACGAAATAAAAACAAGGGTTTTCACTTAACAGAAAGCATTTGTAATGGGCTCTTTTTAAGACATGTTAAAGTAAATTTCGCTCTTTTTCTTCCATTTTTGATTATAGTTCACGCCGCTGAACCACACTATGCCGCACCAGCATACGGCCATTACGATTATGATGCCTATGACAACCACTACGCCTATGAGCCACACCATGGCTCATATGAACCTCACCAATATGAACCACACCAATACTCACACTACTAGAAGGTGAACCGCGCTGAACAGCAAGCCAATAATTTAGAGCACATTTGGCCAGCAATCCCATCATTTGGAATTAGATCAACCGCCGTTTTTTTGTACATTTGAATAAGCAGCAACTAAATTCGATAGAAAATTCGAAATTTGAACAGAAGAGACACATACTTTATTTAAATTATGTAACTTTTAACCTAAGGGAAAAAAATAAAATCAAAGAAGAAGAAGAAGAAGAAACAGACGCTGACAATGACATCTCCCTCCGTGACGTAATCTTTTTTACGGATACCGGAAGGATATTTGAATCGACCATCAACACAAACGGACTTTCATGATATATATATATATATATATATATATACAGGAAATACATCGTGAAGTAACGCTGAACGACTTTTTTCATTGCCAATACAAACAAATCTATCAAATTTTTGCACAAATGTAATGACAACCCTTCAAAATTACTTTATACTATATATTTAAAATTGAAGAATGAAAACTTTTTTATATTTTTATGATCGAAATTTTATGAGAATAATGTGAACGATTTATAAATAATAAAAAGAATTTTACACAAAAAATATCGGATTTTTTTTCGACATTATATTGGTCGTTTTTTACCTCAACCTCAAAAGGAGATGAATTTCCTTAGAATAAGGTGCTGAATTAACATGGCTTCGATGAATTGAAACTTCAAAACAATGCTAATTACCGTAAAGCCAAATAGTTTGGACATGAGTTTTTCTATTGAATGATTGAAATGGTGTAATTTAAAATGATTGCCCTAGAAATCGTCCAGAAAATCAGAAAAATAATAAAACCGTGAGCAAGTTTTCAATAAATCATTCGAAAAATGATTTTTTTACTTTGAAATTCAATGGAACCACCATGGAGGTGAATGATTCCAAACAATTCCAATCCGGAAACGATTACAAATTTGTCGATTGGTCAATAACAAGTACTCAATTTCGATCAGCAATAATCAAAGACGTGATTTAATCAACCTCTTTTTAATCTTGATAAGAGTGATAAAATTCGTTTTAGATAAAATTAATGATTAGCATCAGTCAGCCAGCAGGTGACGTGTGATGTTTTTGAGTAAATCCAAATCTCTACACTGATTAGCTTAAAAAAATGTTTACTACTATTTTAGTATGGGCATTATTGGTTAGTCCGATTTTCACGACTTAATGGCAACCAAAAGAGTTAGAAATCAAGCAACGAATGATTCGTGGAAAAGATGCGCAACCAGGCCATTTCAAATACGAGTTTTCACTTCGAAAATTGTATTACAGAGACTTGAAGATTATTTTTTTTCAAATCTTACATCATGAAAATTCAATTCCAATTATATATAACGTATATGTTATTTTCTAAAACCAATTTAGATTCAGAAAGAAATTATTATTCATTGGGTTTCTGTACTCTATAAACAATAATTTCTTACCAAATCTAAATTGGTTTTAGAAAATAACACGTCCAAATTAGATTTCAATGATGTGGGCAAATAATCTTCAATTCTTTGTAAAACCATTTTTATACAAACAAAGATTCAAAGGCGCGCCACGTATATAATTGTAACGCCTAAACAGAGGCAAAATTAATCAGAGACAATTGAAATCTTTCGTTTCCGATCCAAGAGCTACCGGATCGAAGACGGCTCTCTTGTCTGTTTTTAATATCATGAATATATTGAAAACTTCACAAAGCTATCGAATGATCTTTTCGCAATAAATCAAAACGGCTCAAGTTTTCAAAAGCACTTTGAAGCTTTTCAAAGCCTACCTAAAGCATAACCCTTGTTAATTTTTGTACACATGCAATGCAAACGTTTTTTGAGACTTTATGGTCATGAATAAATTGAATGAAAAAAAAACGTTGTGCAATACGTCACCTTGACATTAGAATTAATTACATTGAAAATTCGCACCAAAAAAGGGCAAATCATGAAATCGAGTGAAATTAAAATCGCATTTGAAAAAAGCATTAAACAGCAAAATGATGAGAAATTTGAAATTCAATCACAACAAACCTGGCACAGTTCAGTTCAATAATGAAATGCTTCGCTAAGGTCGAAGCTTTGTCTCTATGTATATCGGTGAAGTGCGGAAAAAAAGAAAAAAAAAACAATGAATCATTGATTTATTATTACAGAGTAGTTTTTTGTTTATTTTTTTCTCTTTATTTAAATCATTTTCCCCTCATTCACATGATTTGATTGTCGGTCAAGCCGATTACATTTATAATTAATATCTTATCACACAACTCATTTATGTACATAGAATTTGATGTTGCACAAAAGCAAATGTGCCTCAAATGTGCCTCAAATGTGTGTTGGAGGCAAAATTCTAGACATCGGAAACGATTACTTAACTTAAAAGTATACAGAAAGAGAGAGAGAGAGAGAGTGGAGGGAAAAAAGAATTGAAAAATTATTGTACCACATTTCTAGTAACCTCAATAATGTAATATTTGTGTGTGACTTCCTTTCGCATCGACATTGAGCTGTGTATTTGTGTTTGTATGTATTTGTTGGTTACATTGTGGGATGAACCATGCTGACTAAATGGTGTGGAAGTAAATGTTACACGCTACTGTCTCCGTTTCTCCTTGCCATCATTTTCAGTTTTCTTCTTTCAAATGATTCTAATGATAAAAAAAAATTGACTGTATCCATTTCTTAAGAGTTGACATTGCTTATTGTGGAGCTCGAGCGAAATAAAACTGCAAAATCAATAAATGAAAAAAAAAATATGTTTGTAAAAAGATAAAAAATTATTACAATTGAAGATTGGTTTTGTTTCCATTCGTCGAAAATGAGTAACAAACACAAACTTCAAAAAGTCAGTATTGTTTGTGACTATGATTTCTTTCAATAGAAGCCCTGAATGTATAAGCGCATTTGCGTCAATTGAAAACTAAATCCATGTAACACTCATAAAAATGTAAATAAAAATTAAACATTCACGAAAGTTGCAACGAATGAGCCGTTTCTTCACATAATTATCGATTACTTGCATGAACTTTAGGTTTTCATTGCTTTGTATCGAAAAAAAATGTGAACTTGTTGCATACTTAATTCATAATCGACCAGCATGCACCAGCCAAATATAGTCATACATTGACTAAACATGACATTGTGTGCCAGAATAATGTAGGGTAGGGTGGGGCTAAACCGGACAGTTGCCGTATCTCGGAACCAATTGCATGTATCGAAATTTGAATACTTTCAGTTTGTGCGGCGTCATGTCAAACGAAAACGTCATAAGTTTTGATGACATTTGATGGCGTAATAGTGAGTTAGCATCAACCGAGTGCAGACGTATTATTCTTTTCGCTCAAAAAAAATTTGAAAAGAAAAGTGTTTTTAATAGTTTAAGTTGTGCTCAATACCGTGAATTCAAAAAAAAATCGATTACATTTAAGTGGAGTTTTTTTTGCGTGTCATGTTCAAAATGTCTCGGTGGGGCTAAATCGGACAAAAATACATAGGGCCAAGCCGGATACATCATTTTTTGTTTTTTCATTGAGTTTAGTCACAGTGAACACGTACAAAATGCTTACACATGATTTTTATTGTGTTTTTACAGCAAAATGGTTCGCAAATACAAGCGGAAAACGGCAGAGGTTGACAAATCCAAGATGAGAGAGGCTGTTCTCGCAGTGCGTCGTGATAAATTCTCGTTACGAAATGCTGCAAAATTGCATGGTGTCAGCAAATCCACATTGTCTGATTGGTTGAATCAAACAAATGAAGAACAAGCAATGAAGGGTGAAGTTACAGTGTTGACGAAAGGACATAAAACAGTAAGAAATGTTTCAATAAAATGTTCGAAATCTGTGTTTTGAATAATTGAAATAATTCTGTTTTTAATTTGCCACAGATCTTCGCTGCAGAGGCAGAAGAATCATTGTCTGAGTATTTGCTAATCAGCAATCAAATGTAGTTATATGTATACCACGAACAACACGAGGCAGTGTCTCGGCAGCACCAACAACTCAAACATCAGCGAGCCGAGAATCACCGAGTCAAGCATCAGCGAGCCAAGCATCAACCAGCCGCCAATCAACCGGCTGTCAAATGGAACTTGGTTCGGGCGATGAAGATTGGTCAAAAACTTGTTGCATTTGTAGCGACAAATTGCTGGCAAAGGAACGCTTCAAAGTTTGCACTGAATGTCGCCACAAAGCACACATCAATTGTGTTCGAACCACCGACACCATTTTCACGTGCTTCAACTGTTTTTCCGCGGAAGAAAGCGATTGTGAAGACGAATAAGTCGATTTTTTTTACTTTTTCTAATTTTTTTCATAATTTTTTCTAAAAAAATTTCAATAGCCATTATTTTTACAGTATTTTCAGTAAAATATAAGATTTTTTGTATCCGAAAACTCATAAATATATTAATAAAGAGCCTAGTTTCAGTTTATACTTAAAGAATATGCATATTTATGCACAACCCCTGCACCACACTAACAAAACAAAGTAAAACACGAATTTGCGATGAGCGCATTCAGTGAAGTTCATTTCAATTCTTTACGTCGTTAGACGCACTCATGAACGCGACAAATTGAACGCATCAACAATGTTCCGTGATGAAAGAAACATTTTTTACTTATAAAATTGATGTTTATCACGTGCTACGCTCTCACAAAAATCAATTTTGCACATTCGTGACATTTTTATTTTTTTTGTCTACTTTATTAACAAATATAAAAAAGATTCAATAATACATTGAACGATCTGTGTCACAACTTTTGACACTTGTCTCGTAGCGCTAGAAGTGAGCTGTCAGACGCTTACATGCAGGGCCTTTGTATTTATGTCATATTTATGACTAAAATCGGTCTGTCCGGACTAGCCCAAAACTTTTTTGAAATTTCGATTTCGTGGTGGTCAGGTTCTGGGGACATAGCACCAATACTGGTGGATATTTTTCAAAATTCGAACCCACTGTTTTGTAGCTAAGGACATTAGCTTCAAAATGGTATCCCAAGCGCGACTCCACACTTAGCTTCTAAATGTGACACCGTAGTAAGTGTGGGCATACGTTTTGAGAATAAGCGACAAAGAGAGTGAAAACGAGTGCGCGTGTATTAGTCGCTACATTGAGAAGCATCGCATCAGGCTACTCACTACCACGTGCGCACTTTTTCCATTCTCTTTGTCGCTTATTCGCAAAACGTATGCCCACACTTACTACGGTGTCACATTTAGAAGCTAAGTGTGGAGTCGCGCTTGGGATATTACACTTTTCATATTATCAAATTATTGTGAAAAATTTGCCCAAAAAACTGAATCCGTCCGGTTTAGCCCCACCCACCCTACTCAATAAAATTTTGTAAAGATCCTATGTGTTTACGTACCGAAAAGAAAGAAAAAAAATCGAATGAAAAATATACCGAGGAAAATCCCGAAAAAAATGACGCAGATAAAAAAACAATAACAGCAACAAAACAGCATCATAGGTGATATTGGAGAACAAATCAGGCAAATCAAAGTACAAATCGTGACTTAGCATTTGATTGAAAATTATGAGCAGCGCGCGATCGAGCGAGCGAAAAATACAAGACCGAAAAAAAACTGTTTGCTTCGTGTTAACAAATCGCATATTACATCTGTCACGAATACGAATGAATAGTGAAAAAATGCAAAAAAAAAAACACACAGCTACAACAGCGGCAGCACAACGTAACACAACAACTGTAAACTAAATTAGCCGATTCAAGCAAATACACCCAGCATATCATTCTTATTTTCATAATTGCTTTTTTTCAAGAAAAACTAGACATGATTTTCGAGATATTTGTTTCCTTTGTTTTTACCTAATCCACATCGATCAAACGGATTGTTTTGTTTCTCGTTCTAGCTCAGCCGAGGCAAAAATGCGCGCTGTCAAAAGCGTAAATGAGTTTGAGTGATTTGTTCGGGCCAATTTATAGTACGTCCCAGTGTAAGTTCACATTAATATGCTGTCAATAGAAGCTCGATGGATTATTAATGAAACCAAGGAGATTGGATTGAACTGGGCTTCAAATCAAATTGTGCAAATCTGATGTCTACTTTTTTTCATATCGAACGAATGAGCGTTTACTTTCCTCTCAGTTCGCAAATTTAATGACTTACCACATAATACGGAAGACCGCGGTATTTATCTTTAAAAGCAATTATACTATATTTATTGGCTTTACTATAGTAATTTTTGCTAAACACGTCATTTAAATACTGCTGCTGGTGATATTGTTGCTTGGCGGATGATTTATAGAACTTTGGTGGCACATCCACAAAGAATCCTCTGGCATTTGTCTCTTTGTAGCCATTGTTAAAGTCTTTATCGTTTGGAATTTTGTTCGTTTCAATGTCATTGTTGTCGTATCGTGGACGCGATGGTGGTGGTGGCACATATCTACAAATAGAAACCAAAATGAATCATTCGGTGAGAACAACAAAAAATATGTAGATATTGTATTGGAATCAGAATCAGAATGAAATTTGTATACATATAAAAATTATCTTGATAATATAAAATAACATCAATTAAATCATTCATTCATCAGTTAATTAGCTTGAATATTGTTCTTGTCCTTGGGGTTGTTCAGTGATTGCTTTATCGCTCTCAGCATCTCATAGGATAACTGAACGAGATAATTCAGCTGGCTGAGATGACGCAGCGACGCATCGCCCGAGTCTGTGCGATACACATACACACAATGCGCCCAGCGGTATCCGTATACACTCAGTCCCATTTAGTGACGCGCGGCATCGAATTGTGTGTGTGTATCACAAAGACTCGGGCGATAGACTTGGGCGATGCGTCGCTGCGTCATCTCAGCCAGCTGAATTATCTCGTTCAGTTATCCTATGAGATGCTGAGAGCGATATAGCAATCACTGGGATTATTATAGTTGTTGCGGTGATGATGCTTATAAGCATCTCTACGATTTATCGGCTGTGATACAAATTTAGGCCCTACAATCGGATTTAATTACGAATGATCCTTATATTTTAAGCAGAGATTGCATATTTGCTGCTGAGTGGGCCTGAGCTGAGCTGAATTTGCTAACTCAGGCGCCTGGACGGGTATTTTAGCGCACTTACTGGATCGCTAGAATCCACCCAAATATAATTGATAAACAGCGTTTATTCCAGCGATCCACAACAATTTTGCACCATAAGTGCGCTAAAATACCCGTCCAGGCGCCTGAGTTGGCAAATTCAGCTCAGCTCAGGCCTACCCAGCAGCGAATATGCAATCTCTGATTTTAAGTGTATGTTGAGTTTAATCCAATTAGGCGCCCACTGTGCAAACAGCCGATAAATCTTTTCAACATCAAGAAGGTACTTCAATTTGGTGGAGAAGTTTTTTTGATTTCAAGTGGTGTGATTTGGTTTACCTGTATGGATTTGGATTTGGAATATCATTTGATTGGTCTTCCCAAACGGGTGCCGGTTCACGGAATGGTGGCTGTGGCGGTGGAGGTCGTGGTGTTGTCGTTAGCGGCCGAATTGGACCCGTGTTCGTGTTGAAATCCACACGAATTGAATATGCCGTTGCAACTAACATTGACACCAAAACAATCAGAACGCACATCATCTGCAACAAATTAAAAATGACAACAAATTTGAATGTGAACGCTTTTCGCGTATATATGGAAGTGCTCGAATCAAACAATAGCATCCAAATTGAAGCGATAAAATGAGAAGAAACAAAAAATTTGAAATAAAATTATTTGATCGACAGTATTTTGTTGGAACTAGCCTGTTTGAGTTCAACACTAGATATGGAGAAGCCGCGTCATACCGCGAATGATGTGTGCAATCATGGCGCAAGGAAATCAAACACCAAACAAACAGGCAAATTCTATGCAAAAAAAATAACTATTTACATAAATGAATTATTTGCTCAGGTTTTGTGTACTTGTGCTTGTGCTTGTATTTGTGTTTGGTCGTCATTTTATTTTCATTTATTAATAGCTCAATTTGATTGTTATGACATGATCGCGCGAGCGAGCAGGCATATATGAAACAAGTTCAACCGTTTTACAAGCATTGTCAAGACAAGCAACAGTGATTTTCATAGTGGCTGACTGAGTGACACGGTCAGAATTCAGAAATGCTGCTGCTTCTGGTGCTGGTGTTAGAGAAGTTACGATAATTATGGGATTTTTAGTGTGTTTGCGCGATGTGAAGGTTGCTTTTAATTCGCCATTGCAATAGGCAGAGAGAGGGACAGATAGAAAAAACAGCCTATTCCAACGACAATAAATATTAGTGACAGTTTGTCGCGTGAAGCAAAAGAAGCATTATTTCCATGAGAATGCTCACACTGGAACAGCAACAAAGAAAAAAAATAGAAGCTCGAAAATTGTATTGACGTTGATTGTTATATGGTTGACACATCATCATCATCGTCGTCGTCGTCGTCGTCGTCGTCGTCGTCGTCGTCAATCGATTGAAAATATTTCAAACCATTCATTCAACTCAATTAACGAACGAACGAACGATGGCCGAGCGAATGGGCGGATGGACACGATTCACAGTTTCAACATAATAAATTCTATAAAACACGGAATACGCTCCGTGCGATAGTATCGCAAAGTGAAGCTTTGATGAATCAATAAATTGACTTCTTAATGGACGAATTATGGCAGCTTGATGTTTGTGATGATTTTTTTTTCAATTGTTCAAAACGAAAATTATTGTGGAGGCGATAAGAGAGTGCCCTTTAAATGCTCTGTCGAACGGATGAACACAAGCGTCCATCCATTTCCATCACATTCGGTTTGTTCACATTATGACCATTGTTTCAAATGGACTTATGATTTCATGTACCAGAAGCGAGAGATACATTAACTTGAGAAGATGAAAAAAAAAATTATTAAATAATAAGAGGTAAGAGGCGCGTTGGTTTGCACTGAAGGAAAAAAAACATACATACACACTGAATTTCAATACGAATGAGAAAGTCAGCGGAATCGGATCGACGATGGCTAAACGGAATGACGAGGAACTCAAATTCGTAGAAAACAAAAAGCATCAAATATCAGATTTGCAGCATGCATATTGTTTCAGTTGAGGTAGGTCGAAGATGCAAGATATTGTGCCTTTTTTACCTTAGACTTCTTATTATTATCTAACTATTCGCTCAAATTAATAATAGCGCACGAGCGTTTGTTTGGTGGTAATTGCATTTATTTAAACTTTTGGCTCAATTTTCGGAAAATGAAAGCCTATCTACACACACACAGTTCATGAAACCCCATCCACATTAAAAGCACCATTGATGACTCAGAGCAGTGCAGAGCATAACAAAATACACAAACACATTGTCGAGTGTGCACAATAAATGAAGAATTTTATCGGTTTAATATTTTGGTGTGTACAATTTTAAGCAATCGTTTGTTGTCTTCATCGAACAAAAAGGTATGAGGTGAACGCGAAATGAAAGACACAAAAGCATTTATTCGAAGTCAAAATCTCCGCGGAATTAGTTTTTATTTTTTTTGCATGAAAAGAAGATTCAACGCTCGATTTTGCTCTTGTCTTTTTAGGCTCTCTCTTGGTTTTCATCAGTTTCATTTCTATACACGTAGCTCAACTCATAGCTCACGCTCAGCCATACACACGTTTTGTGTAAAAGATCAATGAAACACATAAAGCATAATTAGATAAGCAATGATTTCATTGTAAGATGTACACTGTGCCCCAGTATGGTTTTTTGTATATTTCTTTTTCCCTTTCTTTCTTTCGTAATCGTACTTCAGATTCAGTATGCTATTCGCATAACATCGTCGTCAATTTTGCAGTTATTTAGAGAAGAAAATCTCTTTGTAACTTCTTTTCCTCTTAATGTTGCTGTTGTTTAATCGATTTCGAAGCGAAATGTTTAGTATTTAGGTGCGGTGAAAGATGTGGAGCAATTCCTTTTTGGTTATTTGAAAAATTTGCAATTAACACTAGCCGCGCATTAAAAAGTGAGCAAACAATAAATGTCTATTACTCTGAATAACTGCCTGCGTGTGTGTGGATTTGTTTGTTTGCGATTCGCATTCAGATCGATTGAATAATTCATGTGCTTCGGATTCGATAATGCCATTGTAAGAAGAGAGTCCCTAAAAGAAAATCCACTCGAATATTATGCGTTTTGAGTGTGCTCGCATTCCCCCCGTTTCTTTTGCAGCTTGTTATTTGTTTATATTTCCCTTTGTTCGACATTTAATCGAAAAAGCGTGTAGAAAATTTGTTCTGCTTCGGCACGGCTCACCGTTCATCGCCCGATTTAAGAGGTGAAAGAAGAAATGAATGCAAAAATGCAACGGGCAATGTGAAAACCGCGAAATGATAAAAATCAAAACATGTTCGACGTTATTTGATCGAGCTGTTATCGATACACTGGCGTCGATTGGCCTACCATTTGTCCGCTAGCATTTGATCAACCAGATTAAAAGATAAAACCGAGCGCAATAAGTTTAAAGCACCCAAACGAAAATATTTCTCCTGGAAGAAATGTACCAGCAAATCGCATTTACATTTTACGCACGGATAATTAAACTTGCCGTATGATAAACAAAGACAATGATAAAATGGCGCTACGGGCGATGGCAATAAATAACAAAATTAATTCATTTCTTGTCTAGTCCATTATTGAGACAACAAACGACCAAAATTTTATCGAAATAGAAAAAGAGAGTAAAAAACCAACGAGACCGAACCGCGTGACATGACATACGCATACAAAATATTTGAGAAAAGTATCCATTTTGCATTTGAGTCGCGCGGCAAAATAAATGATTTTTGAGCAAAGGAGAACTAAAAACAGAGGGAAAAAAATAAGAGTGTAAGCAACGCACCAAAGATCGAATATGATCAAATGGAAACGCGCACATCGAACGAGGCGTGGGACAGCAATGGTCTGTGCTAAAAATATCGCATAATAAAAGGAATATAAAATTTCTTGAAAAGGTAAGAAATATCACAGCCGAATGATAAACGGCAGAGATTTTAAAAAGTGATATAAATTTATTGCAAACAACAGACCCGGGTGTAAGAGGACATTTCGTCGCTTAAAAAAGCAAACAGCGAACAACAACAACAAGAAAGAATTATGTATAGTTTGTCGCTGCTACGATTGTGAAATCAAAATGCCGTTCAACTGGAAAAACTGCGCAACGCGCGTACATACATGGGTGTATACACACGCACGCCAAAAATTCAAATCGCATAAATTCGAGTGAGCGAGAGAACAGAGAGACGGAGATCGTACGCATACTCAAAATATCTTAGTGCATTTCTGGAATAATGAAAATAATCCGCAATAAAATAATTCGATTGCAACGGCAACAACAAAATCATATGCCGAACTGAACTGAACTGAAATAAAAACGCAATTATAAATCGAGAAGCACAAGTACTATACGGCTTTACGCATACACCCGAGTCTCGTATACACTTCTCATTTTTGATGATAATGATGACAAAACACTAGTACACAGAAACGTGAACGAATAGTGATTCGATTTGAAATGCAAAATGCGCTGCTGCGGTAAGGTGGCTAATGTTTTTTTTCTTCTTCATTCAAATCCTCCGTATGCGCTGACTGTTATTCCAAATGTTTAATAAGCGCAATTTATGTGCCAACTATTTCGAACTACTTTGTAAGCAATTAGTTGATGTTTGAGATTATTTTCTCATCGCATCCAATGTGGTATTTGTTCAGATTCGTTTTTTTTGCGGTCAGAATTTGAAATGCCGCATCTCTTGAGACAGAATTGGAAATCCAGAAAACTGAATGAAATTCATTCGAGAGTAATGCGTTTCGACAGCTAAATTGGCACACTGACACATACCATAAACACACAAACACACACACTCATTGCGAAATAGAGAAAGAGAGAACACCCATGAAATGAGCAGCAAAGCAATCAAACTCATTTGAGATTCTCTTTGGTTACACAAATAGGTGATTTTCTTATTCAATTCCTATGAAATCAAACTATTGGGTCTGGGAATTAGTTTTTCCGATTTTTCAAAAAATGGCGTAACTTTGCATGGTTGTATCAGGCAATACTTTTTTCTTTTTCGCATGAGAGGTCTAGTGTCAAACTACAAAAATCACCATCTATCATTTCATCGAAGTGTAAATGACCAATTTTTTTGCGCCTTAAATGTGTCAAGTTTTGTACCGAAAAAGCAACATTTCCGTGAAGCATTAATTTTTTGCTTTCATTTGAAGAAAACTGCGGCTGAAGCGCATCGAATGTTGGTGGAAGCCTATGGTGAGCATGCTCCATCGGAACGTACATGTGAACAGTGGTTTGCACGGTTCAAAAGTGGTGATTTTAGCACGGAAGACAAGGAACGTCCCGGCCAGCCAAAAAAGTTTGAAGATGCGGAATTGGAGGCATTGCTCGACGAAGATTCAAGTCAAACTCAAGATGTGCTCGCCAGAGCATTGAATGTTGACCGAAGCACAGTTGGATATCGTTTAAAGGCCCTTGGTTTCATTCGCAAGTTGTCAAATTGGGTACCACATGAATTGACGCCGGCGCAAGCTGAAAGGCGTTTGGTGACTTGCGAAATGCTGCTCGCTAGGTACAAAAAAAGAGGTTTTCTGTATCGAAGTGTCACTGGTGACGAAGAATGGATTCATTACGATAACCCCAAGCGCAAAGCATCGTATGTTAAGCCCGGCCAGCCAGCAACATCACAGCCAAAACAAGATATCCACGGCAACAAGGTAATGCTGTGTATTTGGTGGGATGTGGAGGGAGTGGTGTATTATGAGCTGCTGAGAAGTGGTCAAACCATCGATGGGCCTCTCTACCGACAACAGTTGATACGTTTGAAACAAGCTATCAAAGAAAAACGAAAGAAATGGGAGACCAGAAAAGAGACATTGATTTTCCTACATGACAATGCTCGGCCACATATTGAGAAATCGGTTAAACTACTTGGAAAATAGCGGATGGGAAGTTTTGGCTCATGCCCCGTATAGTCCAGACCTGGCTCCTTCCGACTACCATTTGTTTCGATCGATGCAAAACCATCTGAGCGGAGAGCGGTTCTCTTCAGTTGAAGAAATCAAAATTTGGCTCGATGCATTCATAGCCTCAAAAGACGAGGAATTTTTTAAGGCAGGCATCCGTCAATTGCCCACATTGTGGCAGAAGGTCATCGCTTCCGGTGGACAATATTTTGATTGAAATCTAATTTCATTTTGGTATTCAAATAAATGATTGAAAATTTTAAAAAAATCGAAAAAACTAATTCCAAGACCCAATAGAAAAAAAACCACCGCATAAAAATGCTCCGAATCGCATGGAATATTAAATTGTCGCCATTAATATCTGAGTAAATGCTGCTGATCAAAAATTGACGTGCACTTTATTTCTTGGTCGCAACGTTCTAGTTTTCGGTGGGCATGCATTTTAAAGTTAAGAAAAATGTTGTTTCCAATTAATTTGAAAATGTGCTTTTTTTATCATCCTGAGAACATGTGACGATAGCGGTGTCGGTGGCGGCTGTGGCATTGACGATGGTGGAAGTGGACATTTGCATTGCATCGAATAATCCAAACCGATCTAATCGAAATCAAATGGACGTTGTTTGTTGTGTTCGGTTCGAGTTTCGCAAAAATTGCTCATTTGCCGATTGCAACAATGCATCAGCAATGAGCTCGCTTATTAGTATTATTGCTGCACGTTTATTAAATATAAATGACTTACCCTTGAAGATGACGTATAGTCCATAGCTGGTTTTTTTTGCTGAGTGCGCGCGCGTTTTTGCTGTCTTTACTTCCACAAGAGATGACGGCAGCGACCACGACGACAACGACAACGTGTTTCAAAAAACGGTAGGCAATGGGCAATGGGAACGATGGAAAGACAGAAAAAAATGATTGTACGAAATAAATTTTCGTATTGAGTACAATTGTTATGCTGGTCGTGTGTTTTTGAGCAAATATAGATGTCTTAAAACTGCCTGAATTTAATTCAGTGACTCTTTTTTTCGCCGTTGAATATCGCGTTTCTCTCTCTTTTGCATACTGTCTCCTTTTTTAGTCTCCGCTTTTTAGCGTGTTATCTTCATGTTATGTGCTTATTCTTGCGCAAAATTCAGCTGTGACGAACAAGCAACCATTTGATTTTGACGATGTTCTATTCTATCTTCAATGTCGTCGTCGTTTCTGTCAATTACTCTGCTTGGCCTGCCTTGGCTTCAACTATGATTTAATAATGAAGGTCGTGATTTGTATATTTTCGTACTCAAATTTCGATTGTATATTCTGGTTTCGTCGATGATTCTTGTTCTACAACTCTCACAAACTTGCGTTTTTGACCAAAGCTAAATCTTACTCAAATTATTGTTCATCAATTCCGTTGATATTCAAGTGTTTTCCATAAATTTTCCTATGATTTCAACTGGAATTTTGTTTGTTGTTATCAAAAAATGATTGAGATAATATACAAAGCATTTTCTATAATACAACTTTCAATTTCATTTTAATATTAAACCGACAAAAAGAGGCGTAAATTGAGTAGTTGGAAAAAAAGTTATTTGCAGCCGGTCGCGGAATGTATGAATGCAATTTACGATTGCAAATCATAACATCATTCGAGCCGCACGTGGTGTGTGTGTGTGCTTGTTGTTGTCTTCTAGATTTCATTTTCATTATTGCCCGTATTGTTTTCAAAATGTTGGCCATAGAGAGAGAAGTGAAGCCAGTAATTTTCTGACGCTATTATCAACGCATATTTTTTTATCCGTATGTGTGTCTGTATGTGCTGTGCCAAAATCAAATTGTAGTTTGCATTTCATATGCGCGCATGTAAACGCTCTTCAAATTACATTATAACAAATACAATTTGATTTGCTGTTCACACTTTACCACACATTGATGGCTCTTTGTTTCATTGCGGCGGTTAATAAAAAAAACAAGACCGAAAATAAAGTATGGCAAACCCGAACATGAACTATAAATCACGACTAGGTCCTAAGCAAAACATGTACAAAACAAACGGATCGTATGAAATTTCAGTTTTGCGTGAGGAAAAAAACAAGGGACATGTCGAAAATGAAGCGGTGAAGCGTGTAACAATCTAATACAATATGCATGTGTGTATCAGAACTGGTTTGAAGGCGCTCTTTATTCACTGATCCAAATTATGGCTTGGCTAGATTCCTTCGATGGCACTAGCGAAAGGTAGAGAAAAAAAAAGTTTGCGTGTTTCGAAAAGACCAAACAAAAAAACTGACGAAATATAGACGCAACAAAAAAAACACATTGATGAAGATTCACCCTCCAAGAACACCTTAGATGGTCATTTAGTTAAAAGAGATTGTAAAAGTGAAAATGTTTTATTGCTCTTTAACGCGCGACTGTCGCATTAATTCACCGCGCCGGCAGCAATAGCCTTTGGATGATAGGTTTTTATGGTTGCAATTTGGTAGTTCATCGCTTCTGTCTTTTAATGTCAGATGTGTCAACTTTGTATCCTCCTTATGGCAATAAATGATTTCAAATTTCCTCAAATTTACATTTTACCAATGGGTGAGTCGGCGCATAAATGATGCAGTAATACATAATCTGATTGCATAATTCAGGATCGCGTTCAGCACTCGAAGGGATCGCCGATGGACGACACAGTGGATTGAATCAATGAACGTTTCATTCAATTCGACAGATCGTTGCACACATCCAATTTGATTTATAGCCTGTCTGCCGAGAATGGTAACAAAGCGAAGAAAAAATTGAGCAAATCAGGCGGTGAGAGCAAACAAAGCGGACCGACGATGACGAAGAAGAAGGAGTGTTTAATTAATAGTCTGATAGTGAGTTTTTGAGCATTTTCGATGTGCCATAATCATTTTTTTCTTCGTTCGTCTCTTCTGGTGTTTTGTTTTGCATTTTTTGTTTACATTTGAATAAATGAATAAAGAGAGCGAACGAAGCAAAACAGTGCACAAAAGACATGCGAATACACTTGTCGAAACTGATCAACATATAAGCGATGCGTTCGTTTGACGCGACGATTACGAAACGATCGTTGATTTTTCATAGTTGTTGGTAATTGATAATTTTTCGCAGTATTTTATATTTTGGCTTGGCGAGAGTGTGGTTCGTGCATTCGTTGAGTGTCAGTTTTTACCAGGCATTTAATTTACAAACAATGAACACATGCTTGCGAACGTAAATATCATATGAATTTATACCATATTTTTTTCTCTCTCGTCAAACAACTGAAAATCTTTCTTGCGTTTTTATGATTTCAAACCAAAAACGAGTATGCATTTCATTTGACTCGGTTTGGACAAATCACATCGCCATTTATTTCGTCGAAAATGCTGTGCGTGTTTGAGAGCAAAATCGAAACGTCGCCAATCTCATGCATGCCGCAAAAAGGGTTTGATCAGTGCCACGCATTGAAATCTATCTGTTTTTTTCCTTATTGTTTTAAATTTGATTATGGCCATTCAATGCAGTTCTTTTATTATGCAATTTAAAAATCTAATATGATGAAATGACTTGTGCATGATTGTGAACACTTTTTTTCAATCTGAGTTTAGTTTCCCGGTGGTTCGATGAGTGAATATATTAACAAACAGGTTGCAAACGGATAGCAAAAATGCTTGAAATAAACAACAACGGCAGTAGCAGCACAGATTGCATCACACAAAATGTGGAAACGAGCAAAAATGGAACGAGCAAGCTTGCAAATTGCTCGCATTTATGAATGCACCGATGTGCGCGACAAGGTTGAATTTGGCGTTTTGGGGACAAGATTTGAACCAAATTGCCTGTGTTTATGTATTTTTCATATCATAAACACGAAAGCGATTACATTGAGAAACCGATCGGTTGACGGCCACCACAACATACACACATATGCGACGTAATATTGGTCTTGAATGTTATCAGTCTGCCTTTCTTTTCGCCGCCGTTGAACTATCGAAAAAGTGAACCAGCCAGCCAGCTATCCAGACAGATCGTGAGGTGACATTCACGTGAATCTTGTTTTTTCTTTAATGAAATACTTCTTCACAGATACTATTAGTGAATTTTTCAACCGCTCATCTTCGCATTTTTTTCGCTCTCTTCTTCTTCTTCTTTGATATTCTTTGCTCCACACGATTGGATGGCAGTAAATGTTCAATCGGAAACCATATTCGTGCGGATTCATTTCGGCAAAGGGCGATTAAAAGTTATGAAAGAAATGTTGAGTTATCGATCAAATTAATCATTAAATAAAAAGAATTACATTGGTAATCCCGAAATTTTCCGTACCGTTGGCCTGCGTTGTCCGTAGGTACTTTTGGTTATTTTTTGTGAATTTTCTTGAAATAAAGGCAGTGAAAATATAATAATAAAAAAAAGTGAAAAATCGATCACTTTAACTGAAAGTTCGACAATTCTGTATGAGAGGTACCCGTAAACCGATCCTCATTGGCTTTAAACTTTCTGAGGTTTCATTTTTTGGAGAAAAAATAAGATTCTGAAAGTTTCATCTTGATCGCATTTGCAGAAGTTTGGTTTTCGGCCCTCAATTTTTTCCAAGAAAATTTCGACAAAAATTGAGGGCAAAAAATCAAACTTCTGCAAATGCGATCAACATGAAACTTTCAGAATCTTAGTTTTTCTCCGAAAAATTTAACCTCATAAAATTTGAAGCCAATCAGAATCGATTTACGGGTACCTTCCATATGAAATAGCCGAAAAATCGAAAATTTTAGTCAAAATTTCAAAAAGTTTGTATGGGAGGTACCCCAGGGTCAAATCGAAAATGGCTCATCTTCGAACTTAAACTAAGTTTTTCGGATACAAAACTTTTGGCATTTCCAGATTTTGATTATCTCAATTATTTTTTGAGTTATCGGCATACGAACGGAAAAGTGTCTCAAAAAGTGATTTTCTACGCGTTTCATGAGTTTTTATGATGATCTAAGCTAATTTTGCGAAAATAGTTTTCGAGACCAATTCCTATACTTTGCCTTGACACGTTGTGTACGGAAAAGTAAAAAAAATCGAACAACAAATTATGCATAACGATGAAAAACCTCGAAAATTGCCACGATTTTGTGCTGTGTAGTTGTGCTTTTTTCGTTCGTTCGTTCATTTTGTTGCATTGTTCCCGTTGAAGGCTTCTTCGATTTTATGTATTTGTATGGCTCTCGATCAATTTAATCGTCATCGTAACCGTTTACCTTTAAATCAAGCAGAATTATTAATCTCAAACAAATTATCACGCGAAGCTTTCGCGCAAACCGCCACTCTACTAACGATGGCGCAATTAATTTGGTAGTAATTTGATCTTTCTGCACCTCATTATACTTTCTAAACGATTGACATTTAATGCGATATCATTATAGCATTGGTTCTTTTCGCGGATTCGAAATTGATTGGCCGTGTGTACAGCGAAAAGTGCCGATTGAAGTAAAATCAACAACATCACTGACAACGAGAAAAAAAAGAAAAGTCACCTGATTGGATCCCGATGGTTTTTTTTTTTTTTGGAATGGTCAAAGCCGTCACTTTTTTTCCTCATTGACGTTGATCAAATTTGACATGCAATTGAGTACTCGATACTCTTCCAATCGATTATTATGCTCGAACATTCAACTTTTGTACAGTTTGGGTGTGCATTTTTTTTGCCTTTTCACTTCTTTTCTGGATTGTGACTCGGTCAGCGAGCGCATACTCGTTGTCGCCGTGTAGTGTGCGCATGTTCTTTTTTTTTCTTTTAAGGCCTGTAATTTTCGCATTTTAATCGTTACAGGTTACACAATAAATTACTGTTTGGTCTTATTTTTATTATTTTTGTGACGTTTTACGTTTTTCCATTTTTCTTTTTACAAGGTCTGGCATAAAGTTGGCTCTGGTCAGCATTCAAAACAGCTCTCTGTGTTCTTATGCCATATCCATGTCTCTCTTGCTTTTGCCATCGCTATTTCCACTGACTCGATCTCGTACATTTTATACATAATGTAATGGTTTTGGTTGTTTTTTTTCTGTCTCTTTTTGAAATGTTTTTTTTTGCTTCTTGGTTTCTAGTTGAGTTTCATCGAGTTCTTCGTCTGTTTTCAGCACCAATGAATCGGGCCACTTTATTGTGCAATCCAGTTGAATTGATTATGCCGAGAATGGTGTGCAATGAGACTGGACCAAATTAAACATGCGAACGAATTTAACCTTTTACTATATATCAACAACGGTACGCCGCGTCAATAGACGAGACGAGCGAGAGACGAGAACAAATTCGAGCTTGCGCGACTGGCGCGCGCACACACACACACACAATGCAAAAATTCGAGTACAAAATATGTAACCACTTAAAGTAATCAACCATCAGATTTAAATTTTTTCCTTCTTTTTTGGGGCCAAAAACAACAATAACGGTGCACTAAATAATGAAAGCGAAAATTCTGCGCAGAAGAAAAAGCGGCTGCATTTAAATTTAAACTTCGATCGACGTTTTGCAATTTTCATTTTTTTCTTCCAACCGAAATTATCGAATTTTTCTTCTTTTTTTTCTCTTTCTGTATTCCATTGATTCGATTATTTTTCACTCAAGCGATTATGATGGATTCAACAATATGTGTTTACATTTTTGGTGTAAACCCGACGACTTTAATTTGACACTACGCGAGAATAAAAAAAAATAACGTGGCGCGCGCGAGTACGAATCAAGACCACGGCAAATTATTGTGTGAACTTACTTATAATCTCACCAAACGCGATGACATCAAAAGGCAGACTAAACCTAAGCTGGATCAATTTTTTCAACGTTGTGTGTGATCACGTTGAAAATCTCATTGCCTGCTGTTGCTGCTGCTGTTGCTTCTTCGGTTGTTATTGCCGCTGATGCTGCCGCCGCCACCGCCGACAATAACAATACGCCGAAGCATATATATTATTCAATTTCATTGCAAGACTGTGTGGTCACAAAAGCAGACGAGCACACAACGCGTCCCTCTACACATAGTACACACAGAGAGTAAAACAGAGAGAAAGAAGCAGCTATGTTCGGTTGGCTCGCGCTTACTAGCTTGACGATGACGACGACGCGCACACACAGCCAACGTAATCACAAATACATCACAATAGATTAGTTGGATCTTCAACAAAAGCAGAGAATCGACTACATACACAAATACAGCATTGAATGGAATCGCGTTTATTTCCACAGTGCAGTCGAGCAGGCAGGCAGTCAGGGCAAACTGCAACAACAACAGCAGCAGCCACATCTGAGCCGAGGCTATACCGCATTGCCGCATCTTTAACGCTATTAAACATCGGATTTTTCACTCGACAGCTTTGAATTTCATAAGACGTTGATATTCTTCTTCTTCTTCTTTTATTTACACGGTTACCAAACCGTGATTCGAGGCGCAATCCGCAAGCGATGCATTACATCGAATGGATGTGATAAGGTGCATTATCACCAGTGTGTGTCGACACAGTGCCATATACGTATGCGTATGTGTCTGTGTGTATGGATGTGTGCCGATATGCACTTTTGATTTTTATGTCACCGATCTCTCAACCGATATATGCTAATAATGTATACATACTTCAGTCAAATAAGAAACTCGATACCGTGTAAACAAGCCGAATTTGTCGATTCTATTTGTTGTCAACTATGTTAAACCGGCATCGATTGCACCAAAACGTGGTATGCATTCATGACGAACATCGTCACCGTTTACGTCATTTTCATTTCGACTGAAATGTTATTGGATTTATCAACTTAGTTTTGATTTTGGTATGCACGGTTCACGCCTATCATCTGTGAAATTCTATCGAAATCTTTTGTTTCATTGTTTGAAAAAATTGTACTATCGTGAATTGAATATGTGATTAGTATGTTGTGCATTGTTTGCTTTGGTGTCGTTGGTTGCGAACTGATGTTCGTGATTATGAGCAATTATCGTGATGATAGACAAAATACAACACAAAACGACATTATCCTCTTGCCTGCAATGAGGCACCGTGTCATTTAGTATTTAATTAAAATAATGAATGTTTTCATTTTTTGCTGTTGTTTGTGACTGATTTGTTTTTTACTTCTTCTCTTAACCCTTTTTGTTGTTGTGCATTTCGGCAACCGAAACAATTAGGTTGCTTGACTTGACTCTCGACTTGACACTTCAACTTCACTGACGAGGGAAGCAATTCAAGTCGTTGAAATGCACTATTAAAGCAAATTGGACGCACACGCTCGTTCGCACTGAGAGAAACAAAAGCCACGGCAAAGAAGAAGATGATTGCTTGGCATTCATGATAATAAATAAAAACAAAAACCTTTACCACTGAAACATGACTCTTAATTTGCATGCAACTTATCGCGTGATTATCCAAGAAAATAAATTTTTCCTGATTTGAAATTAATAAAAAAAATGAGTTCGAAATAATAACGACAATGAAATTTCATTTTCATTTCGCTTTTCCGCTGCCGCCGCCGTTGCTCTCTCGACCATTTGTGATACTTGAAAGTGTTGTTTTCATTCATGTTTAAGACATTGAAACGAAAAAAAGAGAGCATAAAATGCATATCATGCAACGAAGAACCTCTTCGTAAATGAGAGACGGCAATGAAATTGATTTGAAAACTTTTCTGTTTTCTAAAATTAACTGCAATCAATGGAAGCAAAAAAAAATATTCACTTTAATGTGGCTTCATTTATTCACTTTTTGTTCAATATGAATGATGTACCCACTCTATATCGAGATCGGACGAGCGTGATGCCACATACAATGTTCAGAGTCAGAGAATGTTTCAAGGTTTTTGTAATGAGCTATTTTTTTTACTGTTATTGGGAAAATGAAGTGCAATCTGCGATCTACGCAACCATTTTTTTACGTCTTCTTTTGCGTTCGTACAATTAGCTGCGTGCTGTTTACATGATCTGCATATGACTTCTTTTTAATGCCCTTTTCTTTTTGCTATTGAGATCAAAATTCGTGTGCGTCGCTCATTTTTCTTTTCTCGTTCGGCACTGTATAATGGAATGATGGTGATGATGATGGAAAACATTGGAATTCTTAAGAACTCATTAACAAGAAGCATGAGGGAAAAAAGGGTTTGCCTGTTTTGACATTGATGTTCGATATTTGATGCCCAAAGGCCGTATTGATCGGAAAAGTGATACTTTCTCTCTACTTTGGTCGTTTTGCAATAGGACCAAAGCCACAGCAGCTGTAGCAAAAAAAACAGCAACATCGACAAAATCACCGCGGAACCGATTTTCGATCAACCATCCGGCCAAACTTGTTTCTTTACAATCGCAAACAAAAACGAAACAATTGTCGCAAATTGTTTTCGATTAAAGTAGGAAAGAAACGCACCGAGGGACCGAGGTTTTCCATTTGCCTTTATTAAAGTCATGCGCCAAAGGCTTTAGCTACTGTAGTTATGATCAAATCTTAAATTCAACTGCCATCCATAAAAACAATTCGGCGACTGAAAGTCTTCGACAATTTTTTTCTCTGTCTTGAATAAAATAGTAATTTGTTTGTGTTGTTTTGTCTTTTGGCTCGCCCTCACATTCAAACGAACACGAAAAGTCAAAGCCAAAATAAATCAAAATGTAAATCTCATCTATCATCTCGAACGAATAAATGGACAGACGGACGAATAAAAAAAGAGTTCTTCAGGTCAATTAATGATTTAAATTGGAAGTTAGATTTTTTTTTCGTTTGTATCCGTCATTCTTTTCCGTTTCGGTCTTCATTCAACGCAAGAGAATAAATGCTCTTGCGGTATAGTTCAGGGTCATACGATTAATAATCTATTTATTATGTTTCGCCGTTCATTCGCAGCATTCTTAGCATACGCTCTGCGGCTGTTGTTTTTTTTTCTCTCTCTCTTTTATTTCATCTGACGATTTAAAAAAAAAACATACATCTATTGTGTTGAAGTAATTTAATACTTGCTTTCGGACGTGTTTTATCTCGTGTTGTTGGTGATTTTCTTGGCGGTTGCCACCGTTGTATTGGCTACTGGCTGAGAGCTTGTCTCGATGGCAGAAGATTGACGACGAAACATTTTCACCCAAAAACTGAACAATCGCTTGTAATATTTACGCGAGAATTTTGTATGCACGCAATGACCGCGCAATACAATGGGGAATTCGGTTGTGTCTGCCGTTGGAAAAAAAAGCATTCAACTGATTTTGGCATCGTTTGCACATTTCGTTGGCCCATGGCTCAATGTTGAATCGCCGTTCGATGCATTAATAGGAGGAACATATGTCGGATTATATCAATTGGTTAAATTCAAACGGCGACCAAGCGAATGGGAATGGGCAAGAAAGAGAAAGAGAGAGAGAGATAAACACGTAGGTGCATACTACAGCATGTTATACAATTAGAGAAGTGATTAATAAACAAGACGGAAACGTTTTCCAACTATTTACATCCACCATCCACAACACACGACGAACGCAACTTTGAAAATATGTACATGTACACACAGCAACCGCACCACGGTGTGGCGGTGATGTTTGTACAAACGAGCAGACAACCAACCCAATCATTATAATATTATGACTAGAGCCCGAGAGTTTAAATAATATTTCGCATTAGCTGTTGATAGCTCCAATGCGTCTCTATCTCCTATCTCTCTTTCTCTCTCTCTCTCTCTCTCTCTCTCAATCACACGATCGCTCATTCGCATGCGTCTGACGAAGTCCAAAGCAAAAACATTTTCCTTTCGGCATCGCGCGGCGCAAATGCTTGCCAATTTTTCAATGGGCCTACATTGTTTTATTTGTTTATACTTTAACCTATAGCTGCTTCTGTTAATTATCATACGAACAACAGAGAAGTGGAAGAACTTTGGTATTTTAAGAAGCGAAAATTCGCAAATTATATCTTCTTCATGTTTTACCATTGAATTGCCGCTCTCAGCCAAACAGTCACTCGTGCGCGCGCGCACACACATGGGGGAAAAGTGTCGAGGAACTAAATAAGACTTCAACGGAAAGTTACATAAGCACATACGTGGAAATCATTCTGGTATGAATATCATGGATCATTATGTATTTGAATTCACATATGAAACAAAGAGCGTCAGAATGATGCTGACATATTTTTTTTTCTTCATTCTTTACCATTCTATTATATTCAAATTGCGTTTTGTGTACACAGTAGTACAAGTAGCAAGGTAACAAAAAAGAAGCAATCATGACACACATGCAGGAAGAATAACGTCGTTCGCATTTCATATGGATGGGCTCTGTTGAAAAGTTCTCGCATTCATTCCGCCGAGATGAAATGTGCGGTATTTGTGTTAATTACTTCATCGTTATTTACCCAAAAGGCAACGTTTTTTCTGCCATCAAATTGCCGACAGAATGATGCAGTGTGGAATTAGGAATTGGGAAATATGAGGGGAAAAATCTACAACCCCTGCACCACACTAACAAAAAAAAGTAAAACACGAATTTGCGATGAGCGCATTCAGTGAAGTTCATTTCAATTCTTTTCGTCGTTAGACACACTCATGAACGCGACGAATTGAACGCATTAACAATGTTCCGTGATGAAAGAAACATTTTTTACTTATAAAATTGATGTTTATCACGTGCTACGCTCTCACAAAAATCAATTTTGCACATTCGTGACATTTTTATTTTTTTTGTCTACTTTATTAACAAATATAAAAAAGATTCAATAATACATTGAACGATCTGTGTCACAACTTTTGACACTTGTCTCGTAGCGCTAGAAGTGAGCTGTCAGACGCTTACATGCAGGACCTTCGGAAAAATCAATACACAATTAAGATGCTTCGAAAAATGATCGATTATGAATTGAAAGGCACACTTAAAAACTGTTGAAATGATTCCCTAGAGCAGCTCTTAAGCAATAAATTCCACGTAATATGCAATGCAAATCCGATTTAATTCGAGGGAATTGGAACACAAAGATGGAAAACGATAAATTATCCAATTAAAAAAGCATCGTTGACAAATCAGTTTGTGTCATCATTGCTTTCTGATGGCGCCGAGACAATACCCAATGAGGAAAACGTTACAGTTGTACACATTTTGTGCACGGCCAATGTAATTTCTCCATAAGCTGTGCACAAAATGTGTACAACTGTAACGTTTTCCTCATTGGGATAAATGTCAAGAGAACTTGGAATGCAAATTGCATCGTAAATTCGGTCGTTAATTTTTTTTTCCAATGTTGAACAAGTCAGATGAAGCAATTTTCCAAAAGTTAAACTTAAGTTTGAACGTCAAAAGCTTTTATAAAAGCTTTAAAAAGCTCATGGTAAAGTTTTCTTTCCACTCGTTCGAACGAAAAACCTGAAAAAGCTAAAATAAGCTTTCGCGAAAGAAAAAATCAAGTTTCACACCGTTTCGGTTGTTTGCCGTCAGTATTTATTTTTTTTTTCGATTTATAAATATTGTGTTACGAAGTCGTATTTTAAATTGAACATTTGGTTACAAATTGATTCCATAAAGTATTCTTACGATTAGTGACACAAAACATATATTAATTTGATTGAAAGGGATCATTGATCAAAGGAGTACGTTGTCGTCTACAACACACATTTTGTTGCTGTAAAAATTCCAACTATCTACTAAAAAAGCGGTTTTCAATCTATTTTTATTTTGTTTTTGTTTGTTTGCTTGCTTTTAAATTAAACTCTTACATAGTTTTTATTGGCGTTTGCATAGACCGGAAAATAGCCAGGACTGGGTGGCAATAGTGTTTTTACCATTCGTGATGAAGCTACTTTTTGTTCAGTATCATCTGAATCGTCAGACGTTGTGGTTGTGATTCGCTTGATGACCGGTCGAAAGTAACTGTTGTAATCGGCTTTCGGTCGAAGTCGAAGATTACAATTTTTATTATTCGGCGGGCAATTGACACCATTGATGGGTGTGGGATTTTTCACAAAAACTGGTTGCAATTTTGAGCTGCTGACCACCGTGTATTTTTTGACAGTTTCATCGATTTTATTGTCTTTTGATTGGCGTGCAATAAATGGTCTTCGATTGTAATAATTGCTCGGGAAGGCATCATACTCGAGATCGACACTGGTACTTGAGCCGGGCCGTTTTGGATAATCGTACAAATTGTTGCGACCGTATTCCGACACGATAAATTCATCGTTGTTGTGCCGAAACTTTGAGAATGGTGAATTGTGTTTGATTTCCGGTCGTCCTATGGACTGATAGCTGGGTTGGAAATCATCATCAAATTCATTGGTACGGAATGGTTCGCTTGGGCCATGCTCATTTATCTTCCATTGAACAGAATGCGATGGTCTCGGCGGTGCATGATACCCGCCTTGACTTATGTGTTCAATATTGCCACCAGTTTCTGTGTACGAGCTCCAGCGTGGACGTTCATGTTTGTTAAGGTATTTTTCAACACCCGGTTTGATTTCGAACAACGATGGCACCTCTTTTTCATCCGTATTCAAATCGATAATTGGCTTTTTATGTGGATTCAAATCGGAGCTCAACACAATGTGCTCTTGATCTTCACTGAAATGATTGATTTTCGATTGTGACGATGAGTCATCTACTGCAACACCGTGTGGATCATGAACTGGATGATGATTTGGACCGTGTGTTTTTACAACTGCATTGAATCCATTTTTACCATCCGCCGTATAGTGAACGGAACGAATTGAACCGTCCGGCTCTAGAACACTTGTTTAATTTGTACAGAAGAGAAAAAAGATTTTAATAATGATTCAACGTAAGATGTTCTGAATTTGCCTCGACATCTAGACAATTGGAAGAAAACCAACTCTAAAGAAAATGACTTGAATTATTTTGCATAAAAAAGTTTTATTGGTATATTGAACGAATAGATTTTGCCACCGAATCAAGTGAGTGACTCAAAACTGGAGATTTCAGAAGGAATTTTCAAACAATTTCCGAATCTCGCGTGCTAATTAACAGATGGTTCGAGGATTTATGATTTTGAGTCGATAAAGCATTGACCCAGCCGAGCAGAGTAAATTTTTATTTAATATTATTATTAGGTAATACCTGTAGTGACCCTTTACAATGCCTTCATCTCGCGATTCCCATTGTGATTTCACATCGCCCGTGTGCAAGTCTTTAACGCCATAACTGAAAGCGTAGCCTGGGTGGCCCTGCAATGTGTCAAAACAAATGGATTCATTATTTGATACATTTTTCTAGACATTTCACACTTACCCATCCCGGTGCATACGATAGAATGCTTGCATCAGTCTCTTGCTCTTGTTTGTCTTCGGCTTGCGGAACCAATGACATTACACCAGCCAACAAATTCGCTAAAACTACGGTTAAATATGCCTACGAGAAGGTAAAAAAACGAATACCAAATTGAAATACAAAGTATGAAAAAAAAACGTGACCAAAGTAAGATACAAAGTAAGTGGTGTTAACAAATTCGGTTTTTACTTCACAGGAAACAATTTCCATCAATTAAGAGCGCACATAAGGCTTACGCTAAATTCTATGTTACCGTTCGGCCATTCCACACGAAATCAGGGAAGAGTTGCAATGTGAGGTCGCCGAATTGGCTGAAAATTGGCTTGGAGTCTTGTTTCCGATAGAAAAAGAGAAAACCATAATCTCAGGCCTAAAAGTGGCCCGCCTTTCTGAGTTAACCCAGTGTGAATTTTTGGAAAAATTGAAAAAATCGAAAAAAAGGGTTTGCGCCAACTGAAAACTAACTAAGAAGTAGTTGACACATTACCAAACCATTGGTACCGTTCAAACGCTGAATTGAGCCAAAAATGGTAAGCAAATTGGTGTATTTTCATTTGTTTCGCTGGAAAATAAAAGCCATTCACGATTTAATGCAGGATAGGGAATTTTTGAAGCAAAAAAAGTGTTTTTATTGCGAGTTGAAACAGCAGGGTCATTTTTCGACCTTTTAGACCCATCAGACAGGATTGAGATGAGTCTCAATCGATTTTCCGTCAAAAATTACGTGGAAATAGAATCATTACAGCCCATTATAGGTGGGTTTTCTATGCCACAAATGTGATTTTGTAAGCAGATTTCGACCATTAGTTTGTTCTATGAAGAAAAGTCAGTTTCGGACCAAATTTATAGATAAACCGATGTTGAAAAGGTCGTTTTTTCATGTATTTTGACGAAAATATAGCAGTTTTCTCATATCAAAATGTCGTAAGAGGCCATTTTCGACCATTTTTCCCACAAAAACGGTGAAAAATGACATATGATTCACCTGCCGAGGCCAGATACACGAACTGAATGGGGGGTATACACAAAATTTTATTTTTCCATCTGAAGCGGCGCGACATAAGCGCAAAAAAAACATGTCAAAACCCCACTATTTTGAGATATTTAACCAATGATGCAAACTAGCTGTATGTGATATACGTAAAGCATTTATGTCACAACTAACAGCGCCATCTAACATCGTAATGGAATTATTCCAATGGATATTTCTTTTTTTATTAGCGAATAATCACTTAAAAAGTGTAAAAAATAAAAATTGATAGATCAATATGTAGAAACTTTTAATTTGTGTGAGATTAATATTTTAATATTGTAGAGAAAAATTTAAAATTGAAACTATTACTTAGTCAGTTAGTTTAGCGGCTCTATGATTGCACCGACTCAATCAAAATATTTCATACTGCGCATCTTTTTCTCATTAATTTGAAGAAAATTTTTATTTGACCAAATTATTTTCATGAAACAAACTCATTAAAAACTCAGGTTTATATTTTTATATAAAACATATTCGAAAAAACCATGGGAGATTTATGCCTTGGGCGTTAGCACTACAAATTCTTCCAATGAATTTCCTTAGTTTCGGTTTAATGAGTCATAGATATGGTTTATCGAGTAAGTCGTCAGTCGCATATCAATAATTGTTGTGAATCCAATTAAAATCAGAATTATAGAAATAAACTGAAATAATCATTGATTTCTTATGAATTTCCTTTTTTACCTTATCAATTGGAAATTACTTATGGTTTGGGCGTTAGCACTACAAATTCTAGCATTGATTCAGGTGTTAGCCTTTAGTCAATGTTCGATGTGAACTCAACAAAAGTCAAAATTACTGAAATAATCATTGGTTTATTATAGCATTTTTTGCTTACTTTTATTTTCAGAAAATCAATGTAAAAATGTTGTTCTTTACGCATAATTATACATAAAATAAAGTCTGCAATTCGAAAATTTGAAATTCCAAAGTACGCGCCATCACCACTGACTTTGACAGCTATGGGATTGAAGTATCTACCGTTTTTGAATTGTATTATTTTTTATTACGAAGTTAAACAAAATTCAGTTCGAGTTTTTCTCAATCAAGGAAAAATGCATATTCTTATGACTCATTAAACCGAATCAGAAATAAAAGCAATTGCAACATTTCAATTTGACGGATGGATCAAGCGTTTCGAACGTCTGAACGTTTGATCGTTTGAACGTTTTTTTAATGTTTTGAAGCTTGACCGTAAGCATCATAGCTTTCTTCTAACGATTGTAGATGGCGCTATTCTTGTGCGTGTCACTTAATTTGCCTCATTGATTTAACATTTTATACTTTGAACCCATTTTTGGAGGTTCCAATGGGGCCATAGAGGATAGGTTACTAGGCGGATTTTGTAGCCCCATTGATTCCCTTTCCAACGGTCTCATAGGTTTGGCAATGTGTCAACTACTTCACAGTTAGATTTTAGTTGGCGCAAACCCTTTTTTTCGATTTTTCCAAAAATTCACACTGGGTTAACTCAGAAAGGCGGGCCACTTTTAGGCCTGAGATTATGGTTTTCTCTTTTTCTATCGGAAACAAGACTCCAAGCCAATTTTCAGCCAATTCAGCGACCTCACATTGCAACTCTTCCCTGATTTCGTGTGGAATGGTCGCGTTATTGAAATTGATTGATTTTAATTTGACATGCGGTTATTCCGCTAGCATATGGTGTGTCTGTTAGTGTGCATGATATAGGGGTCCTTAGCTGTATTTTAATCAATTTCTGGTTACTAAAGCACAAGCGACTCATCGGCTGCCAAACAAGAATCAAATTAATTGCGAATTTTCGCCTTACGCTTTAATAATACCAGAAATGGAAAGCTGTTCTCACACAATCCCAATTCGGCTAATCACATTCAGAAAATAGCATTATGTGAGAGAGAAATGACTATAAAACTAAATCGGTTTCAGATTTTAAAGCACCTATCAATATCTTTTTTTTCATTATCGTTGCCGTTCAAAGTCTATTGACTCTCTGATGCTGTCATCTTGTGCAATTGAATGCACACCAGAGCGCCATATTGGCCAAGTTAGCCAACGCTAAAGAAAATCAGAAAATCTGTTTGCAAATTTACAAAACTTTCTCATTTATTGAATCGATACGATGCATATAATTTCTTATTGCAGCAGCAGTGATCCAAACACGCTTCGAAAGCCAGTATGCAAGTCGAGACCGAGAGACGGTCAGATGTGAAAGTGGATTCTTGTTTGTTGTGGATGTTTAGTCGTCAATTCTATGGTAAAACATTAATATTTGTTTGATGGAAATAACGAAAAAAAGCACATACAACTCCGCCACAAAACGAAATCGTTAAATACTGTACACTTCGATTTGTTTCTTGCAGCTACTATGTTTCATTTCTCAAACAAGTTATTCTAGTGAAAAAATAGTAATGAATTGCGCGGTTCGAACATTTCAAACATACTGCCATTTGGGTGACGGTAAATGATGTTGGAAGAGTTTTGCGCAAAGAGACAGAGAAAGAGTAAATACCATTGAATTGAAGGTCGATCAACCGACAAAGAATGGTTTATTCGGAGTCTCTCACTCGCTTTGTGAGCCAGCTGGAGTTTGTATTTATGCGTTAAAAATTTCTTCATGTTCTCCATTGTCGTCGTCGTCGTCATTTTTCGCGTGTATTTCTTTTTGTCGTGTGGTAATTTTTGTGTCTCTTTATTGAATTAAATAACATAACACGATGAGATAATTTTGAAAATAATTGGTTTTACGTGCCAGTTTCGGATCGTTTTACATATTTCATTTAATTTAAAATGCAAGTCATGAGATTGATCTCTGTTGTTGATCATCATTTTCCGATAACTTATGATTGGCTCTCAATATCGATCATGATCAACAAGCAATTAAAAATTAATCACTGGTAACTGATTTAAATGTTATATGATCTGTTTGGCCGATTTTCTTTTCTGTGTCTTTCGTCTCAATCGGTCCCTCGAATCGAAAGGTGCTGCGCTTCTAGGAAACTTTTCCGCTGGAGTTGAGGACACGAACAAGTGGTCAACCGTGCATGTTTTCTAGGAAATGCACAGACTCTCAGCATTAGACGACGATGGCGACAACAACAAAACCAGTATCGAATCTATCAAACCACACCATCGTCGATCGATGCAAATCTAATTATATGCATGGGTTATAATGAAAAAATTGACAACGCTAATTGCTTGGTTGCCAGTGCACAATCACATCTATGCAGCGAAATAACATGTGTTCCATAGAAAATCAAGCCGATAATTATACATAATGTAAGCATTACGCGAGCCACGAATCAAACGTTCGTTTGCTACGAAACAAAACAAAAAACTGAATGTGCGCTCGCACGATTCATGAGAGAAATGCATCTACAACTACTGCATACAGGCCGATATACCTCCGATTTGTGTTTGGCTTAAATTCACTTTAATGGTACGCATAGCGGATTGTGCAGCACCAAAAGCGGTTGGTTAGTCAGTTAGGCGAGAGAAACCAAGAAATTTGAAACTAGAATGATTAATATATGTGCAAAAATTTTTAATTATAATTTATTGTACTAAAAATTAGTAATAATTGATTTCGATAAATTAAACAATTAACAAGTTAATGCGTGCATATTGGTCTCCATCTCATGCCAGCATCAATTCATATGCTTCGCTTTTTTCCATATATTTTATTCATAAAACACATAAATTGTTCCCATGATGTTCTTGTTGTTGGTGTTGTTGCTTTTTCCCTCTTCATTTTCGTTTTTGTTTCATTGCTCTCTGCCATCAAACTATTTTAATATATATTTTTGTTAGATTCAAACTAGATTCAATCTCTCACTCGTATTTCGTTCTTCTTTTTCGTTTGCAAAAAAATTAGTTTTCCGAGGGAATTTGCCGTTGTGAAGTTCTCTTTTTTTGATCAACTTCAAAGCCGAGTAATGATTGACTCAATCAGAGTGACCCACATGCAAAGTGGTCTGTACGAACAAGTCAAAGTAGTGGCTGCCGCCGCCGCTGCTGCTGCTCGAATTTTAAGTGCTCATTTGATATTTATTTAATTTTTTGTTGTTGTTCCCAACAACTCTTAACAGCTAGCGTATCTTTATTGCTCTGACTGAAAATTGTTTGGATAATATGCTGCTGCTGGGTGTGCAACACCGCCACGCGTTGTATTTTCATCACAGCGCGAGAGGAATTTGTGAATTGTTCCGTTTTTCAAACTGAACTTTTGCAAGTAGCAGCAGCACCAAACCACAAAATGATGGCGGAAAAAATGCGCTTTTCACTTAAACGTTTAATAATCGACATAATTTGAACAGAACCAAACCGACCACAACATTGAAGCGGAGGAAACATATTTTTGTCGTGTTTTTTTTCTCTTCTTGTCCATTTTGGAATATTCTTGTGTTGAGTGATTTATTATTATCATGCGTATAAAGAGGCGAAAAAAAGTTGCAATAATTCCATCTAGGAGACTTTTGCATTATATGAACTTTTTTTTTCGTTGTCGTGATCGCTGTCGTCGCAAGCGGCGGTCGAGAGATGGAAGGTCATCATATTGAGCAGAAAACCGAAAGTATTGGCGTCAATTAAACAAAAATGAGATAATTCCGAAAAAAAAACCATCAACAATAACAACAACAACTTATAACCAATCTAACCATAAGACATTTAACAAAATCTCGTCAACTGAAACAAAATGCACCACAAACTGCATCTGGTTGGTTGATGAGTGCGAGAGAGAAGGGAAGATAGATCGAAATAATTTATTAAATTCTAATGCAAACCTTTAGAAACATATCGAATAATTCTTCACACTGTGAAATCGATAACAGTTTGTGTTCTTGTTCTTTTTTGTTTGGGCGCCGATTCAAATTCAATCACGATTCATTAATAAATACGATGAAATCAGCTAAATGCAATTAAAATTATCTCCAAAATGTGGGTCCCATGCACCGTTCACGTTAATTCTCTATGTCACAATCGCCCAATGAAAAGGCAGAATGCATTCAAACTAACATCGATCTTAACACTGCAAACTATCGCACAATACACCGTTCTAAATCGTTTGACGCGATTTAATAGACAAAAAAAAAACAAAATCCGTAAATAAACTGATCTATTTAGATATAATAATTGATCGTTAATAAAACAACAACAGCATCAACAAATCAGTGAGTGTTCGCAATTCGTGATTGAAATGACTTGTTTACGCGTTAGCCACTGAATGAGACTCAGGTTCAAGAGCGCAGCATTTCTCCTATTTATAGGCAATTTTTCCACCATTTCTAATCCATTGCATCCAGTGGCAAATAGATTGTTGTTGATATCTTGCATGTTGTTGTCAGTCGCTTCTTTGCGCTTGTTGTTGTCTCGTTCAAACATACAACGGACAGCTCTTCTAGTTTTGCTCCGCCACCATCGTCGTGTGCTTTATCTGCCCGTGAATTGGCGCAAAAGGAATTTATCATCGGGTCTCGGTGAACAAAGAAAATGCAACGGAGAAAAGGAAAGTGAAAAACAGCAGCAAAGACAACCGAGAGTCAGACAGCATGCACTTGGCATTGTAAATGCCAATACACACAACAAGACGATATGCATCATGTTGGTTAGCGCGGGGTGAACCTTTGATTCGCCATCTCTGTTGCTTGTCCACAAAATTAGCGGCATGGCTAGATGCAGTGTGCTAGTCAATCTCGTCGTTTTATGATCTTTGCTCGAAACGTGACAATCCGCATTTTGTATTTGTGCACAGAATGAATTCACACTGATACCATTGGCATATCTATCTGGCTGACTAAACATACAACCACCTAAATAATCCAATCAATCGGTGATAAGGAGAAGAAGAAAAAGAAGGAGAAAACGTGAAACGATCGTCCGACACAGATGCAACTATAATGACTGTAACTTAGTGTTGGATACATATATAGAAAATGCATTGCGAGGAGACGAATACACGTCAGCCGTCAACTTTTATGAATCGCAAACGGAGAAAAATAAAATACCCAAGAACGGATGACTGTAATATATGTAATCGTTTGTCAATTGCATTTCGCCGGTAATTATTAAAACGCAGTACGGTTCATGAAACTCAATCCAATTTGCTTGGTCGTGTGTGTATGTGTATTTCTTCATTTTGATTTTAAATTTACGATTCGGACTAGGGGCTTCATTCGAATTTTAGAACATTGAATTTTTGTGAATATTTTTTGAATATTACAGATATTTTCTCATAGAATTTTCGAAAATATTTTGAATATACGAGAATAAATTTAGATAAAAAAAAATCCAAGATGGTGGCTGGCTAGAACGGCTGAACTGTCAAAATAAGAAACACCGAATATCTGTGAATATGAGTGGATATGAGAAGATATTCTCTAGATAATAGTGAATAGGAGTGAATATCTCCTAAAACACACCGAAATTAATGAATTTTTTCGATAAAAAAAATGATAGTTCCCCCTAGGATTCGGATCAAGTAAAACTTCTTTTCCAACTTGAAGCGATGATCTTGATGATAGTAGCACGATGATCATTGGTGCAATTGGCTGGAATGGTGTGAATCGCTTTGAGAAATACATTGTGATTTCGTCTCCAATTTGTGGACATAAACAGTGAGCGTTAGTCACCATGTGCACTGCAATATTGCATCGCGCTCACCGCCTCGTCATTGCAAACATTATTGTATAAGCAAGTGAGTCGTTAATTAGATAAAGAAAAAAAAAACACTTTGGCCGATCTCGTTGTGCAATCGGACAACTACTTTTCTCCTTGATTTTCGCCATTTCAGTGTTAAAAACCGAATGACGCGCAACATGTGAATCAATTTCCATTTCACTTTCGGCCGTGCACAATTGAAACGAATCGAATGGCTGATGTCAAATTCGTTGGCTTATCAGGCGAGTCGATGAAAAGAGAAATTCCTATTTTTGGATCAAACCACAAGTACAATTTATGTTCTGGTGGTGCCAGATTTAATGCATTACTGTCACATTGTTTATCCACTCAATTAATTTTTCATGTTTGTATGCTATAAATGTTATGTTATGCACGCGCCAACCGCTCAATTCCTTTATGTCGAACGAAAACAACGAAAATTTCAAGCGAGAGAAAGAGAGAGAGAGAAATGTGAGCAATATAGATAACGTAAAATTGTTGCATTAAATGGCAAACCATTAAAGATTCGATATAAACCGCCTTGTAATCATGCAGACTGTACGATCGGCAACATTCAGTCATGATGAAAGTGATTTGAATGTTACACTGTAGCGAACTCGTTAAATGCATTTTGTACGGCCAAAGCTATTTATGGTGTGTGTAGTGTGTGGGAATTTACATTTTTGGATTAGATGTGCTTTCAATGCCCTGAAGATTTTACGCGATGTACATTGCAAGAAGATATCGTGTGACACAGCGTACAACGTCTGATATATTATGTGACGCGCGGTATCGTGATTGGCTGTTGCCACCGCCGCCGCCGCTGCCAAGACAAAATCAAGTTCAATGCAATGCTTAATTGCGGTCCGAGCAGACGACTTCTGGCAATTTAATCGAGAGTCATAAGGTGGCATTTGCAAAAAATGCAAATATTTCGAGTGTGAACAACGGAGATTTTCGTATGCAAATGAAGTTTTTGCCATTCAATGAACCAGTCTGAGAGACGCTTCATTAAAACAAGATCAACCGAAAAACAAAACCTATTGAGTGCACGAAAATAAACTTTTCTGTCGCATATTCGCAGCGGCTAATCGAATATTTCAATTTTTGCACAGATTTAGAACGAAAATAATTAAATGCATCGATTCGATTCAGTTCGAGAGAATCGATATGGCGACGTTTATTACAAATATAAAATATTGTCTATATTGGATAGAGAATGATTTTTTGTTATTCGCAGCACAGAATTGATTTGGTCTTATTCGCAAATCTAGAGCAAATGCGTTACTTATGCAATTTACGATGTATACAAATATTCCACTAATTATATCCTCGAGAACAGAATATTTTTCGAGTGTTACGATCGCATGCGCCAAAATTTCATTCAAATCTCTAAAAAAAATTCTCTCTTTGATTTGGCTGTTTCATTTTTTTTTCTTGCTTCGAATTGACCGCTCACTTGGCATTACCACTAGACTGGCTGCAAGTAGCCATAGCATCGAATCTAACGCAACATCTGTCAAGTTTGCACACGCACAATTCGCACCGATGCTGAAAAACTAATTTACAGTCTTTTTTGTACAGTACCCCCAAAATCCAGCGGTTTTGAAACAAATGTGCGTTTTAAAAAAAAAGGCGATATCTTTTTATATTTAGTCGAAATTAACGGTCCAAACACTTGTTCGATATCGATAAAACGAACGTTTTATATCCAATCGATAGATTTGATAGGATTTTGAAAAAAAAACACAAATGGTTCCATTTTTTCCATTTGTTTGTGTGCATAAACATTTATTTCGATTGGCGCAGTCAAGACAATTTAAATGAATGAAACCTGCTACATTTGTTCGCCGATAGGATCTAAACATTTGCCTTTGCACACCAACAATTTAATTAAGAGAAGTTTAATGTTGTTTCTCCTAAATCTTTTTTTTTCCTCTTTGATTTTATTGTACGCATGGTTCGAAATTTGATTTTTTTTTCTCCGTCTATTTCTGTGTTTGAAAGCGGTGATTGAGACATAAGCCGAAGGCAATATACCATTTCTAATGTTCAGTAGGGAAAAAAACGTAATACACACCGCGCGTTTATTCGTGATTGTAATGGTGACGTAGGTGTAAAATTACATATGATTTGTGTTGGCTGGAAATCGTAATATGCGATAAATAAAATTTTGATTTGTCAAGTCAATTGGCCGATCTCATATCGGGTGAGATACAGTTATAATTGTGCAAAATGTTTAAATTAAAATCAGGCACGACAACCACAACAACAACAGCAGCGGCAGCACCACCGCCACCACCACCAACCAAAACAACAACTACAACAAATCAGAATGTTTCGCAAGAAGAGAGAGAGAGACATATATATAGAGAGAGAGAGAGAAAAGATTCAAAGTTGATCGATTGAAAGAGTCGAGTAAAAATGAAATTGTTTCTCAATTCGCGCCAAAGCAATTAAAACCAAATCATTTCTTTTTTATCGCTCTCTCGGCTGTTTTGTCGATGAAAAAAAAACGCACACACAAAATTGAAAGAAAAAAATCACAAGCGTGGCAAAATATCGAGAAAAGAAACAAAAAAAATATTGTGAGTATGGAAAAAGACATGCAAATGAATTGTGTTTGGTGCATTCTTACGCAATTATCGCACAGTAAAATTATTAAACAGATTACAGTGCCGGTGTCGGTGCTTTGTAATCATTTATGCATTAAATGCGTTTCACTTGATATTTGGCTTTGATTTTGTGTTTCTTTCTGTCTTTTTTCTGTTTCTGCTTCTCCTCATCGAGACTTTTTTTTTCAATTTTAAAACTTCGATAATTGTAAATTAAATTCAGATTGTCAAGAATGGTTGCTTTGGTAGCAAAAATTATGATATCATTGAATACTTACATGTGTATGTTGCAAAGCGTATAAGATCCACTCAACGCCAGTTCCAAGTAATAATCATAATTTTCAAGATATTGAATCAGACACCTGTTTCACGTACAAAATGAGATGAGAGAGCGCACTCGCGCATTCATGCAGTGGCTAACAACAAAACGACGACAATAACAACAACGAAAAAATTGATTTTTTTTCTGTGATCGTACCTATAGCTAATATAGCTTGAGACCGAAATAAATTTTCACAGCCATTCAGTAAGTTCTGTTGGACGGTGTAGCGGCGTCATTTTTTTTTACCGCTTGGCAATGACGAACCGTTTCAGACACTGTGACTATTCATTATAATTAAGATCACATTTCTGCTCGCAATCGATTTTCATTAGAATCACTTAACAAGTTTTCAAACAGGATCTATCGGTCAATACCACGTTCGATTTTTCTAATGTGAGATGCACAATTACGAGTTTTAAGAATTAGCAATTTTCCAATTAAAACGAATTTATTCATATTCATGACGGTTGTGTGTACCAACGCTTCCAGTGCGCATTGATGGACAGATCGATTGCGAGAGCATGCACGCTTGATACAACTATGTTTCATTTCGTACTCTCTGGTAACAGCTGCAACCATTGAATGCCCATGCGTTTTTTTCTCACTTCTCCTCGTTTTACCG